ATATTTGTCATACAACAAGTGACACGTACTTCACGTGACTCACTACACTGTTTTTTTATTAAAATAAAATGAAACAATTTAAACTCTAAAAAGATCTTATGCTGAAACTTAATGTTTGCAAAAAAAAAAAAAAAAAAAGGATAAAACTAAAGTGAATGAACAATTGTTTCGCCAACTATCTTATTTTATTGAAAAGAAGGAAAAAAAACCTACACTGGTCATCACATTAAAGAAATATATAGCTGTTACTGTCAGCATGACGCCCATCACTGTAGATCAATAAACTGATTAGTGGTTCGCAATAAAATGCAACTGGATTCAGCAGAGCAAATACACGTTGAACAATAAGGACATCTTTAGCCTACAGTCCAATCATTAAAGTTAACACAACTGTTTTGTTTGAACACACGTTACATTTAACAGAGCAGTAAGAGTGAAATCATTTTACAAAAAGGTCAATTTAATGCATTTAACACATTAGCAGTGAAACCTACATAATCCAAGGAACAGACTAAACAGTCAGTTATATTCTATACAAGGACTGAGATGGATTATACATTGATACAAATTAGCAATCTGAATGAAAACTGCACTTAAAAAACAACTCCCCCGGACCCACCAAGACATGCTCTCTTCATTCTCATAATAATAAGATCATGTGGTAAATCAGGAAGGCAGCCTGAGAGCTGGTCCGTTTCATCATCTTCACCTGCATCTCTTACAAAATCCTAAAATGACAGAAAACTCCCAAATAAAAGATGGTTTTATGTATTTACATCCACCTTCAGCTGATAATCAGGAGCCATGGCAGTTTATTTTTTCTCTTCGTCACATCGAATCACAACATATTCTACAAATACAATTAAAATTTCCTATAATGAAACACATTAAAAAGTGTGTTTTGTTATTAACCACCTGCTTAAAAAGGTGTTTAAATCGTTACTTTTCTTGAGGGCTATTTATTCCTATTTCAGTTAGTCTGCACAACATGCGCTTTTATTTTTGGAAAACCGTCCCTTGAATCCTCGTGCCCTGTGATCCTGCCTCTCCACGTGGCGACAGCGCGGCGGTTATCTTTTTTGGCTAAACTAAAAACAAGCACCGTCAGCAGCAGTCATTACAAAAATAACGGGTTCCGTTAAAAGAGCAAAGTGGTGTTGGGAGGGATGAGCATGCAGGCCTGTGAGATGCAAGCTGTGGAGATAGTCAGTGTGTTGCTCAGGTCCTATGTCGGACGTTTCCTCTTAAGGCATAGCAGCGATGAAACTCCTCTAGCTCCGACTTAGATGACTGGCGCTGATCGGTCATTTGTGACAGTCGGCCTCAGCTTGACCGTGGCGAACGGATTACCTCCTCTGCAGGAAGAAAATAAAGAAAAACTAAGAAATAGCACCACACATTAAAGGTCATCACCGTCTTGCATGTTGCGTCACTCACCCTAAAAAAGGCGCCTTTGTAGTCCCGTTGACTAAAGCCACCTGCCAACGAGAGGAAAAGCTCTTAATAGAAGCAGTGAACCAACTTCGAAACACAATCACGTAAATCTTTCTTCTATTAGTTAACGTCAGAGCTGCCAGACTAGCTCGAAAATATTGAACATTTAAACCTCCCATTCCACCTCAGTGCAGCTGAGCTCTGGCACATCTGCCTCTGAACTTTAGGCAGACCTCAGCTCATCAGAATCTAGACAGTCTAGAAATTCTGGTGTTCACCTCCGTCATTCGCCTGAGGTCAAGTATAAGCTTACTGCCAAGCTTAGTAAAGATAGAAACCTAGATTAAACACCTCGTCTTTGTGACCAGAGGGGGTACTTTTGCCATACAAGACTGTAAAGATTGTTCATCGTCTGATTTTTATGTCAGTGGTTTGTATGCATGTTATTTTGGATTAGATCAAATTATGTGTTTAAATTAGGAAAACAGCAGCATGTTTTTCCTGCATATTTGGCAAAGACTCATTCATTCAACCTTTCTTTACACAGGTTAATCCCACTGAGCTTTGGGGACTCATTTACAAGAGAACTGATTTTAACAAAGTGATGACAACTGTGGACCATCGTAAAAGAAAGCATACAGAGAAGAACAAGTGAACAAATGGTATTAAAAAAACTAAACAAAAACAGCTAGGCTGTAAAGCGATGTAAAAAAAACTAAAAACAGGAACATGTCTGCATTGTTTTTTCCCCAGGAACCTAAAAGATGTTTAAAGCCACTTAGAGAGGTCAAGGTCGAGAACTTCAGATCTTTTTGCAAGATATTCCAGGAAACAGGAGCGGAGTAGGAGAAGGCCCTTTTGCCTAGTTCAGTCCTCACTGAGGGAAACACTCATAAACTATATATAAAAATTAAACAAATAAATAAATAAATTAAGGGTTTAAAAGATTGCAAAAAAGCCTGGCTCCTCCAATGCAATAAATAAATAAATAATTGGGAGATGACTCAAGACTTTTCCACAGCACTGTATTTTGCAAAATACAGTACCTATGAATCTCACTCCTCCACTAGAGAGCAGCCAACATCCAGGAGCAGCCGACATGAAGGTACACGTGAGCTCAGACAATTCAACCGTATTATGATGGGCTTGACAAAATGTGTGATAAAATAACCCACAGACCTAAAGCAAAGTGAGGTTTCAATCAAGTCCTCAGCTCGTTTATTCATTATAAAACACATACTGTATTACATTTACAGAAAATAACTATTTGGTCAGTCTATTTACAGAACACATCAAGAATACACAAAATACATCAAACAAGGGGAATAAAATAGATTTAGTTAGGTTTAGAATCTGGGCAGACATATTAAATGACCATTTTGCTGAAGTACGTTTTATCGTAGATTAAAACAGCAGATGGAGGTAGAGCAAAAAAAAAAAAAAAAGAGCATCAAAATTGAACAGTATTTTTAGCTGCCCCTTTGTTTCTGACAGTCAACTGAAAAAATACAAATAAGCACTCTGATGGAAATATTTTCCCTTCAGTTTTATTGGGGACGGCACCTATTATTCTACACTTCGGAAGAGTGTCTACATTTCTATCTCCGTTAATGCGGCCCAAACCACAGCGTCTACCCCCACAAAAGTTAGATCAAAACGACCGGCTCGGCCCCGTGATGTGTGCTATTACTTTTATTGGCATTTCAAGTTACCATGGCGATGTAATTTGCGAACAAAGAAGCAATATTTCACCAACTCCAGGAACTAGTTGGTGACTGCCCACTTATTATTCTACACCTGAAAAGTGTATCTATTTCAACTTTAATACAACCCGAACCACAACGTGGACCCCCACAAAAGTTATATCAAAACGACCGGCCCGGCTCCGGGAAGTGTGCAATTACTTTTATTGGCATTCGCAGTTACCATGGCGACATATTTTGCTAACAAAGATGTCAAATTTACCATAGGAAATGAATAGGAGAAAACTCTTCACAGAAACTGAGTAACGTACGGAGCCATTTTGGTTCAACATGCAAGGAAGGCAGTGCATTATGCATACATGGAAGGTAACTATTATTACCTATTATCACCTATTATTATTATTAATTAGTAAGATTAATAATAAGTTTTAATGATAAACTATTAATGTTAATAATTATTTGTTTTAATATAAATAATTATTAATAAATAATATTTAAAATTAATATTAATGATTGGTGTGAATATTATTTAGATTGATTATTAATTATTAATATTTCAATAATTAATAAATTAGCCATATATAAATATTTACTGGTATTAATATTATTATTAATATAAATAATAATTGATATTAATATTTATTCTTAATAATAATTCAATTATAAATAGGCAGTCCCCGTCAAAGTTTCTCCAGGAACTTTCTAGTTATTATTATTATTCATCCATCATAATTGATTCACATCTGTGCAACTTGCGCGGCCCATCTATGAAGATGACCCTAAAATATAAGAACACTGCAGTCCAATCCAACCCTGTGGACTGGAGACCTGTCCAGGGTGTCTAGCTCTGTTAGAGAAACAAAGAGTCACCAATTTGGGAGTGATAATGGACCCCTCCCTGAAACTTAACAGTCATGTAAACATGGTTGTTACATTCTTCTTTTTTTCAGCTGAGGCAGCTGTCTAAGCTGAAGCCCATACTGTCCAAAAAGAATCTCGAGACAGTGATACATGCAGTCATAACATCCAGGCTCGATTACTGTAATGCACTTCTGTTTGGAATCAGTCTGTCCTCCACTGCACGTCTACAACTGGTCCAAAATGCTGCAGCCCGAATTTTAACTGGTACAGGCCATAGAGAGCACATTACTCCAGTTTTGGCCACCCTGCATTGGCTACCCATTCACCTTCAGATCCAGTTCAAAATACTCATGTATGTTTTTAAATCACTTAACAGTTCCGCCCCATCCTATCTCACTGATCTTCTACAGCCATATTCCCACCACGCTCTCTGAGGTCTGCAGACCAGATGCTCCTTTTAGATCCAGAAACCCGTCGCAAGCTCAGAGGTGACAGGGCTTTCTGTGTTGCAGGTCCAAGACTGTGGAATGAGTTGCCACTGTGTGTCAGGCAGGCTCCCACACTCAGTCTTTAAGTCTCGCCTGAAAACTCACTTTTATTCCCTTGTCTTTGACACGGTGCGATTTGTTTTGATCCTGTCTGTAGTCTACAGTGTTGGCCATTTGGTTGTTATCTTCTGCTTTTTGTAGATGTATTTTTGTTTTGTTTTCCTGTCCGCGGTGCTTGTTTGTTTCTGTTGTACAGCAATTTGGTTGACCTTGTTGCCGTTTTAAGTGCTCTATAAATAAATTGGTATGGTACCCCGCCTTTCGCACAGTGACTGTTGGATATGGGCACCAGTGACCCCTGCAACCCAAGAAGGAAGAAGCTGGGGTGGTGGGTGATTGAGTGAGTGAGTGAGTGAGTGAGTGAGGCAGGCAGGGCAGGAAGGAAGGAAGGAAGGATGGAGTCCAATCTGGTACTTTTAGCAGTACATCAACTACAAAATCTCTGAAGATATGGCAGCTTTCACAAATCAAAAACAGCAGCAAACTACAGGAATATCACTAAATATTACTGCCCAAGAAATCAAGATTTTCTCTGGCAGATCAATGCACATGGCCTGCCTTGGCTATCCCAGAGTTAAAATGTTTTGAGCAAAACAACAACTAAAGTGCTAGTTATTAGCAGTACAAAGACAAGAACTAGGTTCTACAAGCTGAGAAGCTCACTCAAGTTTGTTGATGATCTGGATGTAACAAAAAATGAGAAAGGAGTCACATTCTTTGGAGAGTTGGACCATTACATGACCATGTGAAGCAAGGTTGCCTCAGCCTTCCAAGGTATAAGGCATACGGTCTGCATTGATCAACCTTTTCACAGGCCGCTGTCCAGTCAAGCAATATGTCCAAGGCAATACCAAGTCTACTAGCCTAAAAGTCTCTGTCCTTACCTTTTGAAATGGTCTGGTGCTGGATTTTGTGGCGTACCAAAGGAGCAAAAGGTTGGGAGTTGGAGCTGCAACAGTCTTGTGAATGGTTGAATGTGTTCCCATATGAACTTGTGTATTCTTTGATTGATGCTTTACAACAATCAATCTCATGGATGCTTTGCTTGCAATGGGTCTTCCAGAAACTGGAACAATAATGAGGAACTAAGTCCTAAGCTGTGCCAGCTACCAGAAGATAAGCAGTTGCAAAAAGAAGGGAGAGGCACATCAGTGATGATGATCCGGATGAGGCCTGAGCTGGCAATCATTAAATGACTTGACAATAAACCAGTGATGATGGATTTCGCTGTGTATGGGAAAGATCCAAAACATATATGTAGCAGATGGTCCATGAAAGAAAAGGTTTGTGTCCAGGTGTGACAACCAGCAGTGATAAGAGAATACAATGAGAACATGGGTGGCGTAGACCTGTCTCACCAAAATCTGAGCTTTTATTGCATGTCAACCAGGACCAAGAAATGGTCATCACGTGCGATCACTCATTTCTTTGATGTTGCCATCACAAATACTGGAATCCAGTACAAGTCTGACAGTAAAGCGCTCAATTGATCAGCTAAGAACACCGAACTGTACCTGGACTTCAAATTGCACTATGATTGAAAAGCTGTTGGATAGTCCTTCATTTGATGACAGCAGTGAAGACAGTGAAGAAGAATTTCAGCCACTAGCCAAAACAAGGATCCTTCAACCAGAGTCATCCGTAAGCAGACTAGGGGCTAGGCCCATGCCAGAAATGGTGTATATCAAACATGCAGAAAGATGCAGGAATAAGATATGCAATGGCAAGACATACATGGAAGATGGGCTGATACCAAGTGCAAGATGTTTCTCTGCAACACCAAAAGGAGAACAAGATATCTGGGTACTTGCTGATGTCATATACAGGTCCTTCTCAAAAAATTAGCATATTGTGATAAAGGTCATTATTTTCCATAATGTAATGATAAAAATGAAACTTTCATATATTTCAGATTCATTGCACACCAACTGAAATATTTCAGGTCTTTAATTGTTTTAATACTGATGATTATGGCATACAGCTCATGAAAACCCAAAATGCCTGTCCCAAAAAA